CTTTCCTTTCAGCTGCCTCAGCCCTGGTCAGGTAGTGGTAGAAGTGATCCAGCTTATCAGGCTGTTCTTCCAGAGGTCTCTGCAACCACAAAAGGGACCTAACCCTCGCGGTCTCCCGCAGGGCATCCCACTTCTCCATCAGGGCGAAGAGCTCGCTAAAGGACTTGTGATAACCATCTCGCAGCATGTCCACACAAATGTTCTTCTTGTATGAGTTCCGGTAACTGGGAATAAGAGACCCAACGCTCAGAACATTATTTTAATCCTTTAAATCCATGCAGTGTTTTTCTTGTCTAAAAATTCAAGGTTGAATCGTGCTGCCCCCCCTTTTACTTTCCTGAGTGAAAGCTGAAAACTCTCTTTGCCCCAAACACTTATAATTGAACAACTTCAGTTTAATGAAAGATGCCAGGAGCTACCCAAATACAGTAATTTTAGTAAAATTACATTATAAATATATCAGTTCCAGAGCTAAGCTCCCTTTAAGGACAGATAAAGGAGTTGACTGATGTCAGTCCATTCTGGCTGCTAGAACAAAATATAGTGACTGAGTGGCTTACAAACATCAGAAATATGTTGCTCACAGCTCTGGAGGCTGGAATTTCAAGGTCAAGGTGCCAGGATGGTCGTCTTCTGGCGAGGGCCCTCTTCCTCGCTCTTGGCTGGGTTCTTCTCACAGTATCCTCACATAGTGGAAGGGGCTTAGGGATCTCTCTGGAGACCTTTTTTTTTATAAGGCACTAATCTCATTCATGGGGGCTCTGCCCTCATGACCTAAGCAACTCCCAAAGACCTCAATTCCTAATACTATCACCTTTGGGAGTTAGGATTTCAACATATGAATTTGGGGGAACACATCCAGACCATAGCAATTACAATATCCAAAAGTACTTGATATACTAGCCTCCCAGTAAAACAAAACAAAACAAAAATATGCCAAGCAAAAATTAAACATGCCATTTAATATTTTAAAAATGCACTCTACATTAAGCAGCTTCATTGTATGTTATGGAAGTTCATTCATTCATTCATTCATGCTTGGATGTTTGGCTCGAAAATGTTTATTAAAATCTATTACTAAGTATATTTGAAAAATATTTTCAATTAGGATTAAGCTAATGATTTGTCAATAATTCACTTCTAATTTAATGATAAATCATATGCAAAGAGATAAAGTGACAAATGAATATTCCATTTATTTATTTAACAAATAGCTATTAAATTTTCTAAGTGGAAGGCACTGTTCTAGACTGAATGGGTTCATTCTCCTTGTGAAGTTTGTATTCTAGTGGGAGAACACAACCATCAAGTGAGTAAGCAGATAATAAATAATTTCAGATGATGAAAAGTACTATACACGAAATAGGGTTATGGGATAACAGCTGTGTGGTGGCTATGATTCCACTTAATCAGCAATCAGAGGCCAAATCAGAGGGCTACTAATTATATTACATTTTTCTAAAATTAGGAGACAATTAAGTATTTAGAACAACTGACATAATGTGATACTACTAGCAATAAAAATTTCAGTGTGGCAGGGAAACAGCCTAGAATTAGTCAGAATACTCAAGGTTTAGCCCAGTTCTACCCAACCTCCTTTGACCTCATTTCATCTCATTGGTAAAATGTGCATATCAATATATGTTGTAACTATATCACAGGATTCTTCTAAGAACAAAATTAAATTATGTATGTGAAAATGCTCTGAGAAATGTACAGTCCTGCACTACTGGTTCCCAACTCCTGGCTATGCAATAGATTCATCTATAGAATTAAACAAACAAACAAACAAACCAAAAATGCCCAGATTCCATCCACCAAGAATTTCTTACTCAGTGGATCAGCTTAGGTATGAAACAAAACACATAAAGAGAGGTCAAGAGACGAGTGATGAGAGAAAAGTTTTAAAAGAAAAGATAGGACCTCAAAGCCATGGTAAGAAGTTTGGACTCCAAGATAGGAGCGAGGTAGAGGTAGAACCATTGAAGGGTCTGAGTTAGGGAAATGACTCCGTGAGATTGCAGCTTAGAAAAATCATCTGGAAGGAGTGTCCCAGCTGAATTGTTACCCTCCCCAATCCGGCAGCCAGATGCACGGCCCCTATTGTAATAGGACTCATCCATAAAGAGAATAAGTAAACCACATTCCTAGGCTAAAAGGTCAAAAGCCATCATCCTGCATGAGACCAAAAACATATGATGTGGGGAAAAGAAGTAACAGAATTTTGTTTCTGCCCTCTAGTCAAGGAGAGTATCTCCAAGGAGGAGAGTATGAAGAAGGGGCAGCGAGATGCTGCAAAAGCCATGTCCTCTCATTTCTTTCTTTTCTACCTGCCCCTACACAAGGTATAGTAAAAGTAGAAGAGGACCAGAACCAACCATTATAATTTCCCATAACTCCTGAATGGTATGGGTGAAATGCCGTAACAGTCTAGTGGGCTCCACGTATGACACAAAAGTTAATGGAAAGAGAGGGCTGGTATATCTGTCATAATGTCACTGGCCACAACAAGGGAGTGTGTGCTAACATGCTCTTGTATGGGCTGCCCACTGGGGATTGAAGAAGGACAAGCTGTAACTCTGAGAATAAGAAGCATCAGGGAACTATCAAAGGAGTCAAATCAGCATATTTCCAGATCTGACAGAAAAGGATGGACTGAGTGCATCAGAGGTGGACACCTGTATAGAACCCCATAGGTTTAGAATGCATTCAACTACAAGTAAGAGAACTTGTTTCATAGTGCCTTTAAAAGGTTTCCACTTATCACAGCACAAGATGCCTAGAAGTAGGCATCTGCTGGCCTTGATTCAGTGGCCTGGCAGGTTCAATGCATCTGGGATTATCTTAATTTTTCCCTCATGCTTGTCCCCTGCTGGTCACTGGAGGATTGCTATAACTTCAGATATTGTGCTCACCTTCAAGGCAAGAAGAAAGGGGAGGTGGGTGGCACCAGAGGTGTCTTTCCCTGTTATTGGGAAAAACAAAAGCATTCCTATAACTGTTAGTAGATTCTCACTTTGGTCCTATTGGCCGGAACTTTGTCATATGGCCACCCCGTGCTGCAAAGAAACTGGGAAAAGCAAATATCCTGCCTGTTCTTGGACACATTAGTCTCCCAAGCAAAACTAAAGTTATGTTAGCCAAGAAGAATGGAGAAATGAGATACTAGATAGGCAAATTCAGGGTCTATAACAAGGTCCTAGATTAAGATCTGCAAGTAAATACTGACAAACCCCCAGCCCCGGAGTTGCCAGATAAAACTGGGCAGGATGCCCAGTTAAATCTGAAATCAGATAAACAATGAATAATTTTTTTTAGTATTAGTATGCTCCAAATATTGCATGGGACATATTTATACTAAAAAAGTTTTTTGGGTTTTGAAACTCAAATTGGATTGTATATCCTGTATTTTTATTTGCTAAATCTGGCAACTCTCCTCCCCTCCACCCTGCACCAGCACTGTGTTGTTTCTATATAAGAAAATAGGGTGAGGGGAAGAGGTGTCAAAATCTTGAATAATCTGAGAAATCACTGAATTGGACTCACATAACCTGAGAGGGACAAGATTAGATTTTTACATGAGGGAGGATCAAGGCTCAGGGCCAGGAATTAAAATTAAGTTATAAAAAAATCTTTCGATTTAGCATCCTTGAGTTTGTGAATCTGAAATTTACACCTGATCCTAGAGAACGGCCAGGAGGAGGGTAGAACTGGGAGCAGGGTGAAAAGATGGTGGTCCTGGGAAGGACAGGCCACAGAGGCTGAACCAAAGAAAAGGTGGAGGGAATGGACAGAAGTAGGTGGATTCAATACATATTTAGGAGATAAAAATATTAATTCCATAGTGACTGAGTGGGTGTTGGGGGTGGAGGAAAGGGAAGACCTAGGATGACAACCAAGTTTTGAGGTTAGATCACAGGTAATTGGTAATTTGTTAAAGAGAGGAACACAAAAGGATGAACAGCTTTGGGGAAAGATAATGAGTTTGGTTCAGATAACTTGAGTGTGAGGAGGCTGAAGGGACAGCTAAGTGGTACCTCCACAGTGGGGCAGCTTATGGGGGAATATAGGAGAGCGGAGGACAAGGGGCTGAAAATCCAGTCTTGCTTCAAACAAGCACTGTCATCTTTGTAAGGTTATGCCTTGGAAGAAAAGAAAATTATAAATAAATAAAAATTAGAACATTGACTTTAAGCAATAAAAATAAACACAAGCCAGGAGGCCATCTATGTTCTAATCTCGTTATCTCTAATCTCAACAGAAATGCAATGCAGAAAATCATTCTGTAAGCCTTATTTCCTTCACCTCGAAGGTGAGGGTGTTTTGATTGGATTTGGTCCACTCAACATCTAGTTCCATTTCCACAGGTGGCAGCACTCCAAAACACTTTTGGAAATGACCATTTTCACACTGTGGGTCATCTTGGTGGGATTTGATCTTAAAGGCTCTCTAAACAACAGGTGGGTCCCCAGTGACCATTAAGGCAACTGGTTCCTCTCCCAGAATTTTGAATCTTGAGGCAAGAAACACAACAAAGGTTTAGCAAGTTGTTGCAGCTCAATCATCTTGGGATGATTCAGCTTGTTACCCAGTATCCTTCCAAAAAATGGTTTCTACTTTATTTAGTCAGAATCAGTTCCTGCTACCTGTGACCAAAGTACAGAATGGATTCAGAAGGGACTGTACTAAAATGGTTTCCAAGACATTTTTCAGCCTTAAAACATCCATGATATGTAACTGCTATCAATTTTTTAAAATTTCTGGTACATTTTTTAAAAAGACCATTCTTTGTGTAAGAGATTTCAAATAGAGATGTATTTTAAAATGCATAAATAACTATGCTGATATCATCTCGATTTTCTATACACATTCATGTGTGCACACATATGCATATGTACATATATGTCATTGTTTGAGCCTCATTACTAATCTGAAAGCCAGAAAGAGTAATTAGTGATTTACTAAATAAGTTCCTACTTAAATCTTCATAGTTAATGCAAATTATTTCTTTTAAAGATTTTATTTATTTATTTGAGACAGAGAGAATGAGAGAGAGAGAGCACATGAGAGGGGGGAGGGTCAGAGGCAGAAGCAGGCTCCCCGCCGAGCAGGGAGCCAGATGCGGGACTCGATCCAGGGACTCCAGGACCATGACCTGAGCCGAAGGCAGTCGCTTAACCAACTGAGACACCCAGGCGCCCGCAAATTATTTCTTTTAAACAAA